TTTTACTTAAAATTGTTCAAAAAGTACTAATATTAAACAAACTAAAGTCCTGAGAATTTCCTGACCACTAGAGATCACCTCTTCTGTCCAGTAACGACCATTGTCAGAACAGAATGGCTCTCACTGTTACACAAAACGAAATGAAATCAGTTGCCAAAAGAAAACAAAGCGCACAATCACACAAAAAAAATTCCCATGGAGAACTGACAGTTCAGATTTCGAACACTGCCACTACAGATGCCGAGTCAAAACTATGAAAATGACATGTCATTAGTACACATTGGGATTAATTACGCTGGCGTTCTAGTAAGGAAATAAGCTGTTTTGTTTCGAGAATAGTGTTATGTTGCTTAGAAAATTATACACGCCAAAATATACAACATACATGACAAATATAATAAAGGTTAACGAAAGTAATGTTTTTGAAATATTATATGCTATAAAATGATGGTGCGAAATTTTCCCCCTAGACTGTAAGGGAGCGTTCTAGTAGGGATGACAACGTTTCGGCCGTCGTGCTGCGATCTTCCTCTTTCCTCCTGCGAACTTCCCGCGATGTGCCCACAGGAAGGTTGGCAGCCGTGCCGTGGACGCGGAGTCTCCCCGGACAACGAAGTCGATTCTGCGAATCCGCTCGCGGAAGCCTACGCGTTCGTGCGAAATGTTATTTCCTCTCGAGCACAAACCGGGGCCTTTCAACTCGCATATAACGTGGTGCAGAACATTACAATCGCACGCTCTTCTGCTGCGCCTTCTTACAGGAACTCAAAAACGAATTCCTGCCAACGATTCTTAAAACGTGCGCGGCTGCTGCGTGGCTTCGCCGGACGCAAGCAGGTGCGAATGTTACAACAGGTAGCGCCGATGTTCGCACTTTCTTATCTGTATATATTATGAATAATTGAACAATTATAAGACACTTTTCATATTTTTCTTAAATTCGCCAGTTTTTATTAACGGAATTTGGCGAGACTAAGCTATAGTTACACCGAGCGCCACCCTTCCTATAGTATTACCTTCATGCTTTGTCGCCGATTTTGATAGACACAAACTTACACACCTAGGGCACGGGTGTGGGAGTGGGTGTGGGTGTGGGAGTGGGAATGGGATTGGGCGTGTGAGGGAGCGGAGGGGAAAGGGGAGGCGAGATGGGTGACGGGGCGGGGAGAGGGCGGGACGTGTTCGGGACGTGGGCGCCTCGCCCCACCCTGCCCCGCCACCCCATTCTTCCTGCCCCCGCCCCGCTCCCTACGCGTCACCCATCACCCTCGCCCCGCCCACGCCTCCACACCCACGTTTCCACGCTCCCGCACCGTCCCCCCACCGTTCAACACCCACCTCTCACCCCCCCCCCCTCCCGCCCACGTCACGCCCACTCCCTCCCACGCCCCCATCCCCCGCCCAACGCGTCCCGCCCACGCCCCGCCCACGTCAACGAACACGTTCCCCACTCTCCCCCCCCCTCACCCATCTCCCTCCCCTTCCCCTCCGCTTCCCTCACACCCCCAATCCCATTCACACTCCCAACACCCACACTCACTCCCAACATCCCGCCCCTAGTTGTAACTTTTGTGTCAGCACATCGGCGACAAAAGCATGAGGAATACTATAGCAAGGGTGGCCTCGTGCAAACTATAGGCTTAGTCTCGCCAAATTCCCGTTAATAAAACGCCTAAATTCTAAAAAAATAGTGACCAACCACCCCGTGTCTTATAATTGTCAAAAATCATTCATCAATACCTATTACAATAAAGAAGAGTGCGCAACCATTCGCGCTACCTGTTTGTAAACATTCGCACCTGCTGCCGTCCGCGAAGCCACGCAGCAGACCGCGCACGGTTTAAGAATCGTTGCAGAATCGTTTTGATTCCTGTAAAGAAGTCGCGAGGAGAATCTGCGATTGTTAATGCTGCCACCCAACGTTATATGCGAGTGAAAGCCCCGTTTTTTTTGCTCTCGTATGACGACAACATAATATTCATTTAACGCAATACGACACCGTAGCTTCCGCACGCGGGAAATTTCGCCAGAATCACACTTGGTTGTCCGAGACCTCGCATTACCACATTCCGTTCAACTATTCTCAGGAGCAAAGAGGAACATTGCAGTCACGCACGACCCGAGAACGTCAGCATCCTTCGTCCTTGTAAGTACCACCACACCGCACAACTTAGCTATTCTTAGCAAAGAAATTGAAATATTATCCCGCTCTCTAATAATTTTATAGCATATAACTACTCCAAAAAAGGCCTGCATTACTTTCCGTGAACCTTTAACTAAATTATATTTTCATTATGTGTATATTTTGGCTTGATAATTTTCTAAGCAAACATAATCACATTCTCGAAACAAAAACAGCTATTTCGCGGTCCTTACTCTATACGCGAACGCAGCTAATTAATCCAATGGTACTAATGAAAAAATGTCATCATAGTTTTGACTCCGCATCTTATGCCCAGTTTCGAATCTGAAAACTGTCCCCAAAGTTCCCTCCCCAATCGGAAATTGTTTGTATTTGATGTGCGCTTTGTTTTCTTTAAGTCCAAACTGATTCATTTCGTGTTAAACATGAGAGCCATTCTTGTTCTACAATGGTCGTTACTGGACAGAAAAGGTGATCCCTAGTGGTCAGGAAATTCTCAGGACTTAATTCTCGTTGAAATCCCTCTGACCATTACGCGACAATAACATGACGTAAAGTTTCTGATGTCACAAAATTGCCATGTTTCTCCGCACAACTTACTCAAAACGACTTGTTATTAATATGAGGAGAATTCTAAACCTTACTTTCCAAACAACCAGAGTTTACTAAAGAGACAAATATCACTTCTTAACATTAAAATTCCAGAAGACCCCAAAAAAATGTGATTCAATTTTCTGGAAATTAGGGAGTTGCCAAGGAAACCAAATCTGGTCGCCCAATTATTTAAGCCTTCTTTTACCCATTATCCGACCCGAAGGAACCGATAGACCCACGGACAGATGACAAAAACCAACAACAAACAAACAAAAAACAAAGTCGTAGAAAATCGATCGATTTTTCTTATCAATTACCCACAAAATATAATTATGTACACCAAAGAGTCAATCCTAAATTAATTCAGATCAGGACACGACTATCACTTTTTTATCCTGCCAGCCATAGAGTTTTCCGTCTTCGATAATGCCGTTTTCAGCTGTAGATTACAATACTCTCTGTTATTACGAAGAGTGAAAAAGTAAATAACCCTGGCCCATCGGCTGCCCTTTGCCTAACCTACCCCTTATAATCCAGGAGACAAATCGCGAAAATGCTATCTACCAAAAATAATGTAAATTTCAATGCCTGTAGAGATAATGGAAAAAATTACATTGTTGTTAGAAAATCAAAAGAAATACATGCAAAATAGCGTTTTGATCATGATATCGATGATGAGACTGCTCATAAATGAAAATTGTTTTGCTACAATTATCATTTATGAATTCATATAATTTGTTAAATTAGTACCTTTTAAAACAATTTGAAGAAAATACAAAGCCAAAAAACAAGATTTACCTCATTTTCAATAACTTCACAATTCACGTCGCTTGCAAATTCTTTTTCTTCAATTATTTTTGCATGGCAGAGTATTAAATGTATTAGCCATGAGCGTCAAATATTGATTACCAGTCAACATATTGATGTTATCATTTTCATCATCTACTAAAGGTTCACCACAAGAAATGAATATGCGCCGCCACACCACAACACCATTCAAACAACATGTACTTCTTAGAGAGAAAATTTACACACCTAGTATATATCTTGCCACTTCCTCATCTTAATAAATATTTCGAAAGTGTCTACAGTTTATCATTATAACACTGTAAATATACCTCCAAATTATATCTTTTCAAACGATAGCTAGTCCTTTATGTCGACACCAGGTATTAGATTAGAATATTCATTCTGCATATAAATCTCACAACAGTATAGCACAACACGTGTTCGCAGCACGCACGACAAAATATCTATGACCGAACGACTATAAGGTCAGACGAAACGTAAGTTTTAAGAAACGCATTTTCGGTGTATAAGAAACCATAAATACCACCCCATAACATACCCTCTCTCCCCTGATCATGAATTCGCTTACGATTAGAAAAGAATTTCCTCTGGAGCAAGAAAAATCCATTCACCATCTCTCTGGACTCATCTCTATGAAATTGAGCAATAACCACGCCCAACGAACATAAAATTATATCACTTTATTGATAAAAGACCACACGTCTTCTCTCCAAAGGAATTAACATATATATATACATTTCGGTAGCTTCTGTTATTATTATTCACTTGCACACAGGCAAATAATATGAACGTTCCTATTACCAGTATTAACTGGTAATATAAACGAACAATACTACTTCATTGATTAAATCACAATTATAGGAGAATATCTCTCGTTACACAATCTATTTTAACCCTGAAAATTCGATTATTGCAATCACGATTGCATTGTATAATTTAGTATATTTTATCGTTTAGAGGAAAATGTTTTGAAAAAATATTTTTAAAATATGTTACTGGGTTTATGTAATCAAATCAGAGTCTAATTACTCTAGACCCTTCCAAACCCGAAACCTAAATCCTTACTTTTTTAAACACCAATACCCAAATGTTGAAAACTTGGTTGCTACAAATGCACAGACTTTCATCTATATTAGTTCATAATTCTTTCCAACTAGCTTTGTCAGGCTCCGTCTGTTCCAGTGCTATTATCCCTCCAAACAAATTTCTCATTTACTCAATTTTTCGGCTCTAATGAACAGATACGGAAAAAATACTTCAAAAGTAGATAATAGAGAGTAAAAAACACCGTCCTATATATAAATTTATGCATTGAAAAACGTTTTCCATTGCGTGCCAAAAATCTCGTTAAGCGTACGAAAAGCAATAACTCTTTGAATAGCTTTTTCACAGAAAACAATTGAGTTTTTCGACAAAAAAATATATTGAAACTTGTTATTTCCGCTAATACCTACTACATATGCAATAAGTGTAAGGAAATTGCTGGAGATGTTGCGTTACTAACTACATGAGATATTTTTAAAAAAATCATTTGCGTAATTTTTAAAAAACAAAAGATATAGCAATAGATTAATTTTGTCATCTGAAAA